TGATGAATTTACACTGAGATGCCCCCAGGACAAGTGACGTGTGACAATACCAACACCAGGTGGTGAGAGGAGAGCCAAAACTCCACCTCTTTAATGGATGATCACGCCCACACTCAACACAAGATATGACACCTTCACAGCATAACAATATTAGATCAGTCACTTTACAACTGAGAGAAGAGGAAGAGGAAGAGAAAGAGAGAGAGAGAGGAGAAGGGAAGAAGAGATATTAAAAAGAGAGAGGGAAAGAGGAAAGGAGAGAGGGTGAGAAAGTGAGAGAGGGTAAATGACTCTGTAATCTGTTGTATTATGTCCTTACTTTAAAAGGTCAAGATAAGCTAGTGAGTGATTAGATGAATGAAGTAGATCAGGATTATACTGAACTGATATCCAATGGCTACACTTTGAACATACTTGAGATGTAACCCTGAAATAAAAAGGTAAGTATTATTTATTTATTTATTAATTTATTTATTTACTTGTTTTCTTTGCAGAGGAGGTCAGTCCTGCACTTACACCTGCTACATTCAACCGTCACTTTAATGACACTCATTTGAATTGTTCCAACTCCTTCACTTAGTTTAATGTCCACTAGTCTCAGCTCTGTACCTCTCTTCACTGGTGGGACATATTTCATATTAGTAGTAGCTACATCATCATCATCATCATCATCATCATCATCACTTGCTGTTGTTGAATCATTGTCTTCATTTTTGATGTTGATTTTAGAGGAAAAGTCCTCCAAAAATGACTATTAACAAGAAAGTACATACATGTAAATAAGTACTTAAAAGTAACACAGGGTATTTCGTCAAAAATAGCTAAATAAAATTTCTCCATTTTTAAATTTTTTCCTAATGCATACACACATTTTTATGTTGTGTATCAAGTTTGAGCTAATTTCGATCGAATTTAGATTTTTTACAAATTTTTAAAGTTACTCCAAAATTGGGCTAAAGTCCCTGTACTATAGTACAGTGAATTTGGGCAAATTTTGGCAAAATTGAAAAGTAGAGAATTCTCTATTTTTATATTTTTTGCAGATACATATACATGTTTTTATATTCTGTATAAAGTTTGAGCTGATTCCGATCGAAATTGAATTTGTTACAAATTTTCGAAGTTCTTTTATTTCATTAACGGTAGCTCTTACATTAGTACAGAAATAGTTACAAGTTATGATCATTCAAAAACATTCAAATTAATCACAGTCTTACTGTTTGAGGTATCAGTCTCATTGCATTATTGTCCAGCCAGTGAAGTATTGGCCTAAGCATTAACTCATGCTGTCCTGATCTCCTGTTAGCCAGCTGGTGATCCTCCACCCTTCCCTCCAATTCATTATTAACAGAATCAATACAGTCAATGGATAGGACACCAGTATTGACCACTTCAAGCTTACACGGCTATAAAAAGAATTTTAAAATATATAATTTACTACTTCTATTTGTATCTACACTTACTTTACGTGGATATTCTGACGAAAGTGTAATCTTAATGTCAAAAAATGAAATTTAAAACTCAAACAAAAGAGACAAAAGTGCAGTGTGTGTTCAGATTATAATTTCTTACCCATTCAGGATCTGTTGGGCTGAATTTGATAACATATGCACAACTATCAGAGCTCTTCTCTACCAGCTGGTGCTGGTCCCCATAGTAACGTTTGGTCAGTTGCTCTATCTCAATATCACGAAGAGACTGAAGAGGAACTGATGAATCCACTGCTCTCTTAGGACGTGGTACAGGAGCTCTAGCAACAGGAGCAGAAACAGGACCAGCCTTCCCTTGACTACCAGTTTTAAAGAATGCATCTAATGTTAATGGCTCTGCCCTCCTCCCAGTGTGGTCTGACTGCCTGTGGTCTTTGGTTCTCTCTACAGGTGGGGCTGATGACTGCTGGTGGGTACTAATAGTAGGAGGGGTCTGGAATGAAGGGGCTTTAG